AAACCCTTCCTTGGCTGATTTAAAATTATTCAATTATTAAAAAGACAACAATTTTTATAGAAGTGTATAAGAGGGAGATAAAAATGGAGATTTAGTCATTATATAAATAAATTCCCAATACAGAAATATGAAATTACACAAGCACTGATCTTGTCCTTGCATAAATAAGGTAACAATATAAAATTCATAGATTTTGTTGCACCAAAAAGGAGCATATGCCCAACTTCCCGAGAAGAAGTAGAAGGTAACAGTACATGGTAGGTTCAGTGATTTAATTTAAGAAAGAAAAGTAATTAAAAGCATATGCATCAATCTACCAACAATCTACCAATTTGGGCTTCAAAATAAAGGTGCAGAAATACAAAATGAACAATGTAATATAACCCTGATTTCAATATCCAATACCTAATATTATTTTTGTGTCAATGAGTTCATGTCTAAGATGTCTTGTTTCTGATTGTAATTGCATCATGGGGGCATAGAGGTTTGTATTTTTTTTTTTTTTTTTTTAATTTTGAAGCACAACTAGTGAAATTACCCATAATGGAATTACAATCGGATAAAAGTAAAGGACATTTTTTATCAATGTTGCACAGCCTATTCAAGAATTAAGAAAATAACCTGTTAAACAATGTTCAGCTTCATTAAAAGTAGAAAGGAACTCTTCCCCAAACACTGTAAGGCATACAAAACTGCATCAAATCCCAAAGTTCGAAAAAAATATTTTGGATGGGTGTGCCACTCATCACAATCTTCTGGGTATGACAAATCGCTCTCTAAGGACTTTATATACAACATGTTGTGGTTCAATCATTGAAGTCTTTCGAATGAGAAAATCATAGGAAAATCGAGAAAAATGTTTGCATTAAAATATTAATTTTTACCTACTCTGATTTAGTCTTATTTTAGACAACTAGAAGAAATTTACTCAAAATTCACACTAGTAATCGCCCCACAAAGTTGAGAAAAGAAAGGAGAAGAATAGAGGAACAAATCAAGAATTCACGAACATGCGGCTATCTTACTACCATTACATTCATTTTATATTTGTTATATCTGATGATTGACAGTAGCATCTCTTATATTTTTTAAAAGTAAAACAAATTTTATAAGCAAACAATTGCTACCACAGAAAATTTATATTATTAAATATGTTAATCTCAAACTTACACTGGAAGGGTTTTTAAGTCTCTGGGCTTCATCGATTATGACATAGTACCAAGGTGTTTTAGATAGTAAGTCCTGATCCATCAAGGTATGTCATATCTTGTCAACAGTATATCAAAAGGCAATGAAGATGCCTGCAAAAGAATTTCACTTACAATAAACAATTAAAACAGACATAAGATGTCAGGGGAAACATTTATATTTATATCTCAAATAAAATGGGTAAACCATAATTAACACCTAGGAACCAACAAAGAGAAAAAAAAAATTCATAATTCACTTAACATATAATTCCATCAGATGATGAGGACTTCTCTTTACTTGCTCGTTCATTGTTTTGTGTAAACTGCACCAGTGTTCTTTCTCACCCACATACTTAAGAACTTTTAAGTTTCGGTGTGAATTTAGCCATCTCCGACACCTAACCATCTATCACACTTAGCAAACACAAAACTAGTGCAGAAAAAAGAAGGGAAAATCATTAACGCAAACCATTTCCATAGATGAAAGTATCATGACTCAAAACTGAATAAAAGGCTTTAAACTCATAGAATGGCCCAAGTGACATATGATTTAACTCAGTTTATATACAGAAAATAATTAGAAAAGATTGTTGCAATGTCATTACTCAATTGGAAGTTGATTATTTGCTAACAACAGGAAAAGACAGAGACTCACCGCCATCCCTATATCAGTTTTCTCATTGCCATTCACCTCCACTATGTTTGCAACCAATGGATTCATAAACTAATCAAACCCAAAAAGTGTTCCAACAACCATCCAGTTAGCATTCAACTTGACTGCAATACAAAATACCTGTTAATTTTTAATATTAAAAAAAAAAGAAATAATAAATAATCTTCCAACAGATGTCCATCCTATCTTGAAATGACAATGACAAGTGTTACAGATGTATATGACTTCCTAGATTATAGAGATCACATTAAAATCCTTGATTATAGGGATCACTTCTATCCTAATTTAGATTGATCACCTACCTAGTTTAGAACACTACAAGTGTAATTAAATATGTATCCTTTTAAGCTATGAATGAGAAGTGTGAATATTCATTACGTTTATTTACATGGTATCAGAGCCTTAAAAGATAATTAGGGTTTGGGTCTCAAAATTAAGAAATTAGGGTTTGGGTTCAAAATTGGGAAATTAGGGTTTGGGTTTCAAATTGGGAAAACTGTTTAGGTTGAGATTTGTTCAACACTGCCACCCAAGGGAGATTTAGAAGCCGCCGATCGGCAAAACCCTGACTTCCGGCCATCAGAATCACCGCGCGTGAGCTCCACGCGCCACCTGAAACTTGGGTGAACAGTACCACGCGCAGCACGTGCACAGTTGACTTCTCCTATGATTCTCTTCATCTGCTTCGTCGGTACTTGTACAGGACATTTTCGTGCTGGATTGGGTACTGTTCTTTGTTTGGATATTTCTGAGGACTTAGTTGTGATCTTTCAACACTTTGTTTTCATTTGGTTATTGGTTTTTTTTGCTTGCTGTGGCCTCTGGTTGGTGGTGACTATTGATTGATTTGGTGTGTCACTTAAATTTAGTTAGTTTGCTTTGTTTTAACCATTTGTTAGTGTGCATTGGGATTATCATATGTTTAAGACATGTCTGATACAAAGCCAGTGATGGAAATGATACCGACAATGTCGAAAATTATAGAACATAAGCTCATTGGTATAACTAATTACCATAATTGGCGTAAAACTATTATATTGTATTTGCGGAGTATTAATAAAGATGATCATATGACTGATGATCCACCTGAGGATGATTCGAAAAAGACATGGCTCCGGGATGATGCTCGGTTGATTCTACAAATACGGAACTTTATTGACGATGAGGTACTTGGCCTAATTAATCATTGGGAGTTATTAAAGAACTGATGTATTTGGAGTTTCTGTATTCTGGAAATTAATCATTAGAGTGTGAGTCATGTCAGTTTGCTAAACATCATCGTGTCAGTTTTAGTCCTAGAGTCAATAAAAGAGCTAATTCTCCTTTGAGTTAGTTCACTCTGATGTTTGGGGTCCCTGTCCACTTCTATCTAAAACTGGTTTTAGATATTTTGTACATTTGTGGACGATTACTCTCGTATGACTTGGTTATTCTTAATAAAAATCGTTTTGATTTGTTTTCTTATTTCTGTGCTTGTACTGAGATTAAAACTCAATTCAATGTTTGTTCATACATTGCACAATGATAATGCAAAAGAATATCTGTCATTTCTTTTCAAAATTACATGACCCAGAATGGCATCTTCATCAAACTTCATGTGTTGATACTCCATCTCAAAACGGAATAGCAGAACAGAAAAATAGAATCTTCTTGAAACTGCTAGAGCCTATTATTCCAAATGAATGTTCCTAAACCATTCGGGGCTGATGCCGTTTCCACCGCCTGTTTTTGATTAACCGCATGCCGTCTTCTGTCATTCATGGTGAGACAGCGTACAATATTCTTTTTCCAACAAAGCATTATTTTCTCTTGAACCTAGGGTATTTGGTAGCACTTGCTTTGTTCGGGATGTTCGACCATCAGTCACTAAATTAGATCCCGAAGTCATTAAATGTGTATTTCTTGGTTTTCCGACTTCAGAAAGGATACGATGTATGTCAAGTCTGAATAAGTAATTGTTTCCATTGATGTTACCTTTCTAGAAGAAAACACCATACTTTCCCTTTCTCCTGTACATCGTCCGAAGGATGTGATAATGATGATTTGTTAGTTTAACCTTCATTCCCCTGCACCAATATCTGAACTGGCTCTTGTCTCTAACCCATCACTATTCCTACATTCCTACATCGGCTCCTTCTCTGATCCTGCTCCTGTCAAAGTCTATTCTTGTCGTTCTACCTCCTCTTGTTTCTGTCCAGCACCAACTTCTTCATCATCCGATCCAGTTTCAAGTGATGATCTTTATTGCATTATGAAAAGGAAATGACAGTTACTATCTGTTTCTTCTTGTGTTCTTATGATCATTTGTCACATTCATCATGCTCATTTATTGCTTCCTTGATTCTATTACTCTCCACAAAACTGTTCATGAAGCCCTTTCTCATCCTGGTTGGCGTAATGCAATGATAGAGGAAATGAATGCCTTAGATGACAATGGTACTTGGAAATTGGTAGATTTACCTTTAGGGAAACAGGCAATTGGATGCAAATGGGTGTTTACAGTTAAAGTTAATCCAGATGGGTCAGTTGCTCGACTAAAATCTCGTCTAGTTGCTAAAGGATATGCTCAGACTTACAGAGTTGATTATTCTGATACTTTTTCCCCTGTGGCTAAGTTTACCTCTATTCGGCTGTTTATCTCTATGCAGCTACTTATGATTGGCCTTTGCATCAGCTAGATATCAAGAATGCTTTTCTTCACGGCGATCTTCAGGAAGAGGTATATATGGAGCAACCTCCTGGGTTGGAAAGTATGTTATCTTCGCAAATCTCTGTATGGTTTAAAACAGAGTCCTCGTGCTTGGTTTGGAAAGTTTAGTCAGGCTGTTGAGAGATTTGGTATGCTGAAATGTAAAACTGACCATTCTGTTTTCTACAAACGGTCTTAAACTAGCATCATTCTTCTAGTTGTGTAAGTGGATGATATTGTTATTACTGGGAGTGACAGTGTGGGCATCACATCTCTTAAGTCCTTTCTCCATACCTAGTTCCACACAAAAGACTTAGGGATATTGAAGTATTTCTTGGGGGTTAAAGTTACAAGGAGCAAACGAGGTATATACCTCTCTCAGAGGAAATATGTGCTCGACTTATTAACTGAGACAAGGAAATTGGGGGCAAAGCCATGTAGTGTTTCAATGGTTCCTAATGTGCATCTTACGAAAGATGGAGAACTATTTGGAGATCCTGAGAAATATAGAAGATTGATCGAAAAGTTGAACTATCTTATGGTGATTTGTCCAGATATCGCATATCCAGTAAGTGTTGTCAGTCAGTTTATGGCCTCCCCAACAGTTCATCATTGGGCAGCTTTAGAGCAGATCTTATGTCATTTGAAAAGAGCCCTTGGATGCTGTATATTATATGCCAATCATAGTCACTCTCATATTGAATGTTTCTCAGATGCAGATTGGGCAGGTTTCAAGGTAGATAGAAGATCCACATCAGGTTATTGTGTCTTTGTCGGAGGAAATTTAATATCATGGAAGAGCAAGAAGCAGAATGTCTTGTCACGATCAAGTGCAGAGTCGGAATATAGGGCTATGGCACAAGCTGTTTGTCAAATAATGTGGATATATCAGTTCCTGACTGAAATAGGCCTTGAAACTTCAGTACCAGCGAAATTATGGTGTGATAACCAAGCGGCTCTTCATATTGCATCTAATCTAGTGTTCCATGAACGAACAAAACACATTGAGATCGATTGCCATTTCGTTCGTGAGAAACTACAGCAAGGTCTGATTTCCATTGGGTACGTAAAGACTGGAGAACAATTGGGAGATATCTTCACAAAGGCTCTAATTGGGATCCAAGTTGATTATCTTTGTAACAAGCTAGATATGATTGATATCTATACTCTAACTTGAGGGGGAGTGTTACAGATGTATATGACTTCCTAGATTATAGAGATCACAATAAAATCCTTGATTATAGGGATCACTTCTATCCTAATTTAGATTGATCACCTACCTAGTTTGGAACACTACAAGTGTATATAAATATGTATCCTTTTAAGCTATGAATGAGAAGTGTGAATATTCATTACGTTTATTTACAACAAGCAACAAATTGAATGTCTATCAATGAAACAAGTCTGTGGACCATACCCCATATTTATTCTCATGTTTGTTTCTAATGGTTGTTTATGGGAGTGTATCACATCACGGGATTACCCTGATCATCGCTTTAGACAAGCACGAGACAAACATGGCAGTGCAGTGTACAATGATTACCAATAAAAGAATCTAAAAGGCATTTTTGTAAGATTAAAAAAAAGGTAGAAAACAAAGAAACTAAATTAGAACAAAAAAATATATAAGGATAAAGAAAAACAAGCTTAAGAAGCATTAAATACTGTGGAAATCAAATGGAAATCCACCAAATATATGCATGACAGTTAACATCAAAATATTTGCATAAGCAGATATACAACTAACAGGACAATAGTAAACAGATTGTTTTCAAAATATTTCTATTTTTCAATCAAACCATGTTATAAGGACATAGACTTTGATAGCTTTGATATTAGATCTAATTATTGAGGAGTTCATTATTTGATATCCATAAAAAAGATGTATCATAAATCATTCATGAAAACTAAATCAGCAAACTGAGCAAACAATGTGATTCAGTAGTATTGCTGGAAAAAAAATAAAGAGAATGCCCCAGCCACAGAAGAGAATTATCATGGGTTTTCACTTTACTCATTTCCCAGAACTTTTCAAGTGACAAAGTTTAGTTGACAGTTACTTTTAGCAACAAAAAACAGTGCCCAAACTCAAGGACTAAAAAAGTCATCTTGGTTCCATTAATTGCATATTTCATTAATGTTACATAGCTTCCGCTTATCGAAAATGTACATTATGAAAGCTAAAGCACAAGCCCCATAAGTAAGAGAGTTGCTGAAAGTGGAAGGAATTGGGCAATGCTCCCTAGAAACATATATATTAGGAAAACACAGATTAATGGAAAAATACCAAAAGAAAGGCAATCTTGGTATTGTCTTAATGACTAACCTACCCACCAAAATCTCATATAGTCAACATTGTTATTCCCCCAACAACAAAACATTTTGCACAACCCAAATTTCTATTTCTGGTAATTTTACTTCTCATATCAGAAAAAACACGATGATAAGAGGATAATGTCAATAAAGAAGTTCATGTTTTATTCATTTGAATATATAATGCACAGGCTTTGCCCGAGAGAGGAAAAAGTATAATTAACAAATTGAAATAGAAATTCATGCAGAGTATATGAAATTTAGAAAATTAAAATGGATGCAGAATGGAATATCCAGGAAGTCTATGAAGTAGTTCAGTTCTATGGAACCCACAGCATGATCTGAACAAAAATATAAATTGAATTGACAAGATATCAACATCTGGACAGAATTTTAGAATGTAACATCCATGAATGAACTAAACGAAACATTTGAGAAAGATTAATAAGCCCATCAAATAATCCCAACGAGAAAAACAAAATAATTAATTTTGGTATTTCTGAATCAATGTAGAATTCAAATCACAATCAGAGGGGTGAATTAAACAAGAAATATAAATTAAACGGTTAAATAAAACATAACAAATAAAGTGGAGAGAGAGTGGAATTGATTGAGAAAGAAAGCAAGCAAGAGAGCATAGGCATAATTTTGAAAACACACGTAATCGAAAATCAAAACCAAAATCAAGAATTAATCAAACTGATTTTGTTCAACATTTCATGATGTATATTGAACAAAGAGATTACTGTAAGAAAAAAACATGCACAAACTAGGGAAGTAACCTCATCCATAACAATGCAACAACAATCAGAAATGAAGCAAACTTACCATCTTTTCCAGGGATAACTGCAAACCAGGTTGCTCAGAATTGTAACCAACTTGCTCGCAACCTCCCATAGACCTCCCCTAACTGCAGATAATATATTGTGATTTCCTCTTGGGCCTCTTATACTGAACTTCATCCACACCAACTTCACCCGGAGGAAAATGCAAGTTAAACTGAGTCAACATCATCAACCTCTCTCTCTGATTCTGCAGCCTTGAGTGACATAGAAATTGAATAAAAAAGTTGCTCATTAAAAGCTAGTCTTGTTTCACCATATATCTGTCGAGATTCTTCTTCAAAACGCTTCTTGTAGTACGATTCAAGAGCACTCTTTCGCTTCTGTAGAAGCAACCACTTTCTGTCCAAATCTTGAATTGCCCAAAGTACCTAAAAAACAGTAAATAAGCCATTATTCTCTAGGGTTATGTTTTTCTTAATAAATAGATTTTTTCCTACATAATCAATTTGCTAATTCAATCACTCCATGACAAACTCAATGACCTTGTGCCATTTCAATTTAGGTGGTCTCTCGAAATCATCCTTCTTGTTATCATCAGCTTCTTGTTCCTCGGGATCTTTTAATAGGCTCAAGCACTCTTTCTTCCGATACATATAGCTATAAAGGGAATCTGAAAGCAAGAAGAAATAACAGCATGATAAGATGAAGAAAGATCAAAGGGTGAAAGGTCACCAACATTAATCAGAAAATACTTACGTCTAACTTCTGCACATGCAATAGGTCCAAAAATCTCGAGATGTCATCCCTGTTTATAAACAAATCCTGCCCCTCTACAGTACAGTAACATACTTGCGTCTACCTTCTGCACTGGTTCGTTGCAGACCCGGCTTAACCCTTACGCATCTGCCTAGGGCCCCAAAAAAAGGGTGTTAAAAAGGAGCCAAAATTATATTTTAAAATACTTTTTAATATATTTATAATTTTTTTTTTCATCAATCCCACCATTTTGTATTTACTCGCCTATGCCTACCTCTAGCCTCTACCTCTATCCAAATGATTTTTTTTTAAGAGTTTTTTAATATAATAATTTTTCAATCCTCATCAATTCTCCCATCCAATCAACCATGTCTATCTCTTAAACTTAAAACATGATTTTTTTTAAGAGTTTTTTAATATAATAATTTTTCAATCCTCATCAATTCTCCCATCCAATCAACCATGTCTATCTCTTAAACTTAAAACACGAATGACGGCTCACTTTTCCCTTGCAATTTGAAATACTTTCACGCAACTCTCCAACTCTCAAATGTCAAATCACATCTCATCTCTCCTTCAAATCACCATCTCTTATATAAATTTCATTTCATTTAAGGTTTTCTCATCTTTTTACTCTTATTATTCTACCTCAGTTTACTCTCATCTCTCATTTCTCATCTATTTTACTCTCTTGTCTCTCATTTCTCATCTATTGTCTCTCCTTTTTTATCTTTATTACATGAATTTTGTCTCTCCTTTCTTATCTTTATTACATGAATTTATGAAGTGAATGTGATTTATATTATTATTTTTATGCAAGGTAATATTAAGAGTTTTAAATCATTTTACTCTTAGCATTGTTAACTGATTTTACTTTATATTTGATCAAGTGATTTATATTATTATTTTATGCAGGGTAAAAATATAAGATTTTTGAGTATTAGCACGCAAAAGCAAAATCAGGGCATAAATCTAGCATAAATCAGGTGCTAAATTCTTTCTTAATTTTTATATTTTATTTTTATTAGCAAAATAATATTAAGAACTCTAAATTATTTATTCTTTGAATATAATGCCTACTAGAAGTGGATCTGGATTTGAAAAACAGAAGGAAAAAAAAAAAAAGAATAGAAGACTATTAAATCCAAAAATGGTGCACTTGTAAATTTGTTATTAATCAAAACCCCAAATGCTATAAAAACCAAATGAAGATTTAAATGAAAAATCAATTGAAAATTGTGAAGAAATTCTTCAAGATAACAATTCAATTGATCAAATACTAGTGAAGAGTCTCATGAAAATTTAGAAGAAGAAATTCCATTCGACAAAAAATGAAAATATTAATGATGAAGATGAAACAACCATTAAAAATATTTATGACCTGGTACACTTGAATAATTAGACAAATTATATGATTATTAGTTGAAAAGGTCTAATTAGACAAGTTTTAGATTTTCCAAGAGATGAAAATTCTAGACTGCTTTTCTACAATTCTTACATTCGAAATTACCAAATGGAGAAAAAACATGATAGAAAATGGCTATATCCAAAGAATTAAATAAAGTATTTTGTTTTTGTTGTAATTATTTAGTTTAAAAGAAAATACAATTCATTAGCAAATGGCGTGTGGAGAGTTGGAAAAATCTTAGTGCCAAGCTTAAAAGTCACGAAATAAGAATGAACATGCTAAAAATATGAACATTTGGGTTGATGTTGAGATGGGATTAGCTTAAAACAAAACAATTGTAAATATTTACAGAAAAATAAATAAAGAGAAATAGCATTGGAAGAATTGTACTATTAATATTATAGCGGTCGTAAAAAATCTTTCAAAAAATAATTTGGCATTTCGTGGTACAATGAAAAAGATTTATCAAAAAATGGAATTTTTAAGTTTAATTGAAATGATTGCTGAGTTTGATCCAATAATGCAAGAACACTTTAGACGTATTCAAAATGGAGAATTCATACTCTTTATCTTGGTCATAATATACAAATGAGTTGATAAATATTTTAGCATTAGAAATAAGAAATACCATTATTAAAAAATCCAAAGAATCAAATATTTTTCATTATACTTGATTGTAACCCCAGATACAGTCATCAAGAACAATGTCACTTATATTAAGATGTGAGATATTCAATAAGTCAAATAAAATAGAAGAGTACTTTCTAGATTTTATAAAATGGATGGTACTTCTGGTCAAGGTCTTTTTAATGTTCTCACACTATATTAAAAATCTTGAACCTTGATGTATAATGTTAGAGGATAGGATATAATAATGGTCTAATATGAAGGTACACAGGGTGTGCCAAAAAGATT